CTCTCTCTCTCTCTCTCTCTCTCTCTCTCTCTCTCTCTCTCTCTCTCTCTCTCTCTCTCTCTCTCTGTCTCTCTCTCTCTCTCTTTCTCTCTCTCCATGTGAGCGCATATTGTATTGGGTGTGGAGTGTACCGGATATGGAGTGTAACGGTCGAGGTTCGTATGTGTTGCGATGTTTGTATTTTGATGCCCTTGTCTGCATCGTCGTTGGTTTCGTCCCGCTTTCGGTGTACTTTGGCGACCACAACGGTGCTTCCATGTTGGACCACTCGTTTGTTTTGTTTGTTTGTTGTTGGTTTTATTCGTTTTTTTTTCTTTTTTTTTTTTTCTGTTTATCTTCTGTTCACTTGATTTCGGGTGTTACGACATTGACAGCAGTACAAGTTCACGAAAGGGGAAAGACAGTTGTCGATGATAAACCAGTTCCGTTTTGCATGTGGGACTTGTCATGTACGATCGGTTTTTAGTCTTCAATGATGGTTTTTTGGTCTTCATTGATGTTGGCATTTCCTTTGTTGTGTAGTATGTTGGTTCACCATGCCTTTCTTCTTTGCCTCTTTGACCTTTCACCTACGTTAACCCTTGGCCGCGGCCGAGTTCGGCCATGGACGAGGCCGACGGCCTCGGCCGGGACCCCCCCAGCCATGGCCGCTCCGGCCGTGTTTTTTCGGCCGCGGCCGCGGCCGAAATAGGAGGGTGGTTCGGGAGAGGAGAGCGGGTTTCGGGTGGGGTTGGGGCGCCACACGCCCTCGAAGTGAAAGACCGACAAAAAAATAAAAAATGGGGGGTTCCTAAACATGGGTCTAGCAGGGTGGGCCGGGAAAATTATTGCGTCCACCGGACTGCGTTTCATTGATGCAGGTGCGTAGGGGGGAAGGTAAGCAACACAAAAAAAATAAAAAAAAAATATGCGCCCGCTGCGGGTTCGTTTTTTTGGGGATGGGGCCCGTGGGGGTATATGGTGGGTGGGCGACCGTGGGACCGTGGGCCCTCGTTGGGGGATGGGGGTCCGCCGGTTCCGTGGGTGGGTTTGTCGTTGGGTTGAGTGGGGGAGGGGGGAGGGGAGACTGTGGGGGCACTGCGTGGGTTTGGGTTCAAGTGTTGAAGTGCAAGTACATAGTCTCCCACTGCAAGCGGCGGGATACTGGGTACTTGAAATTGGACATCAGGGGAGTGGGGGTTGGGCGGGGCTTGGGTGGGGGTTGGGTGGGGCCTGGATGGGGGTGCATATGGTTGAGCAGAGGCAGGCATCAATTTCATTCGTGAGGCTGGTGAAATAACACATTGATTAGCATATCATCCATATTTGGCATACCAAATTTAGAACACATTCACAATGAGGGCAACCATAACATGCATGTGTGTGGCATCAGACAAAGATACAATTTGCAACATTGCGACAACAATTTCCGCTCTGTGCGGGACATTTAAGACAGTAAAACACTCACCGAACAACAACGACTAACATGCAAAAGCGAGTGTGGAAGAGGAGCGTGTAGAAGAACAAGACAATGGAAAAAAAAACTCCACTCCAAATGCATATGTACGTGTCTGAAGCCAAAAACCGGACCCGTCAACGTCAACTAAACCGTGACACACGGTAGCTCACAAAAAAAACTAAGGCGATCGTACCATCCATCCCTGTGGAAACTACCCTATGAAAACAACATCATGTACAAAACTATGATACAACCTCGAGCAACAACATCAACATGAATATGAAACAACATCATGTAGACCACGCGCTCCTCTCAAGCCCCCTCCACCACTTGTGCCCTGCGCATCGCTGATGTATGTCGCCTGTGCTACCGCGGCTGCCGCGGACACGACCGCTCTATGTTTGCGGACTGCACTGTCGATCGGCTCGGACTCTGTGTCCGCGTCCTCATCCTCGGCCCCCGCTGCAGCAATCGTCTGTTGCTGCCTCTGAATCGCGTCCAATGCAGCCTGGCCGGCGACGATCTCTGCTGCGAGTCGAACCTCAACCTCCGTGACGGCGCTGTGTCGTCTACTCCCACTCCGCATTAGCAACCCCTCCTCGCCAGATGTGTCGTGCTGACCCTGCTGCATGTCCGCAGCTGTCCCTCGGGACGGAATTGGCGGTGGGATCAAAACTCTCCTCGTCGCTGATCGAGACAAACCGAGCATGCGGCCTGCCATGTGAACACTCGGACGCCCAGAGCCACCCTCGCTGCTGGCCGCAACCTGAAACCGAGGTGACAAACGTCCTACGAAGACGCCCCTCCTGGCGTCGTAATCCGCCCTCATCCGGTCCGAGACCCGACGATGAGCTGCCCATCCGCCGGCGACACCACCTGGGACAGGCGGCGGGGAACCGGCAACGGGCGCACGGGCGGTGGTCGCGTCGACTCCGCCCTCCGTGCTCCGTGCGGGTGGCGGAGGGATCGATCCGGCAGATCTGCCGCCGTCACTGCGGCGGCCCGACCCGCCATCAACCGCCCGGACTCCCTCCCTCTCATGTCGCAGAGCGAAGAACCTGACTATCTAGGGCTATCCACGATGTACGGCAGAGGCGAATACGCCCCTCCAGCAGGGCGCCTCTCGCCGCTCCTGCGGCCCGTGTGGGGAAAGGGTCGTGTGAACCGAGTCACGCTAAATCGTCGACATCAAAACCAGCCTGAGTGAAGGCCTCGGGCCGTGTGAGAGATAGTGAAGGCACTGACGGGTCCCTCAAGACCAAAGCCAGCCTACCCTCATTGTCGTGGTCGTCGTCGTGGTCGCCGTCGTCGCCGTCGTCGCCGCCGTCGTCGCCGTCGTCGTCGTCGTCGTCGCCGTCGTGGTCGTCGTCGTCATCGTCGTCGCCACCGTCGCTGCGGTCGCCGCCGTCGTCGCCGTCGCCACCGTCGTCGTCCTGGTCGTCTCCGTGGTCGGACCCCTCCTCGTCCTCGTCCTCGTCCTCGTCCTCGCCGTCACCATCTCCCTCCTTGTCCTCGCCGCCACCATCTCCCTCAACACCCGTGGGGACACCATCTCCCTCAACACCCGTGGGCACAACCTGTCAGGCCGCCCCCGCATTAGCGGCGACGCGACGTGGCAAGTTTGCAACCTCCCCCTCCCACATGGCAAGATCGCCACGTGGCAAGTTCGCCACCTCCCCCTCCCACGTGGCAAGATCGCCACGTGGCAAGTTCGCCAACTCCCCCTCCCACGTGGTAAGTTCGCCACCTCCCCCTCCCACGTGGCAAGTTCGCCACCTCACCCCGCACTTCCGCCATCCCCCGCACCTCCGCCCATCTTCGCACCTCCGCCTTCCCCGCTTTCAATCTATCAATCAATCAATCAATCAATCAATCAATCAATCAATCAATCAATAAATCAATCAATCAATCAATAAATTAATCAATCAATTTCGATTGATTGAATGATTGATTCATTGATTGATTGATTGATTATGTGAAAAAAAA